CCCTAACTTCATACTAATATGTGGAATAGACCATTCAGGAAGCTGGACTCTCTGAAGAGGAATGTGGCACTGGGATTTATAACATAACAACCTATGTTATGCAGGTGACATAATCTTGCTTGCTGAAACTGAGGAAGACATGAGACATTTGCTGCAGAACATCAAGGACTGAAGCCTTCAATGTGGACTGAAGCTCAACATAGAGAAAATAAAGATTCTCAGCACTAGGACAATTAGCAGCATGATAGATGGAGAAGAGATTGAGATTATTAACAGCTTCAGCCTGCTTGGGTCCACAGTTAACACTCTTGGTACTGGCAGTTAGGAGATCAACAGACTAATTGTGTTGGGGAAAATCTGCTGTTAGAGACCTCTCCAGAATAATGAAGAGCAATGATGTCAGTCAAGAGACTAAGGTGCTTCTGAACCAAGTCATGGTCTTTGCAGTTACTTGCTATGCATCAGAGAGCTGGACAATGACTAAGAATGACAGAAGGAAGATCAATGCTTTTGAGTTGTGGTGTTGGAGAAGAGTACTGAATATAACCATGGAATTCTAAAAGAACAAACAGGTTGGTCCTGAAGAGGGTGAAACCAGGCTATTCCTTAGAGGCAGAGATTTTGAAGTTCCGTGTGACATACTTTGGGCATGTTGTCAGCAGGGACCATTCCTTGGAAAGGGACATCGTGCTTGGGAGGGTGGAGGGACAGTGCAAGAGAGGAAGACTCTGGATGAGATGGGTTGACTCAGTGAGTGGGGTGATGGGGGTTGATGTGTCAGAAACAATGAAATTGGCTCGAGATAGAGAAGGGTTCAGAGCTATTGTACACCAAGGGTCTCTGTGAATCACAGGCGATTTGGTAGCAAATAATAACAACGAGCAATGGGCTTGTGCTTTGGAGTTTATTTTGTTTGTTTTTTGAGTCATGGACCTTACATCCTAGTGGGGAGGGAGAGGAGGCAGCCAGTATACAAGTAAAACACATGGTGTGCAAGATGATGATAGACCATGGGGAAAAGAGAGGTAAATAAGAGGAGGAGTGTTACTATTTTCAGTGGGGTGACCAAGGAATGTCTTACCCAGGAGCTAACATCTGAGCAAGGATGTCAAAGAGCAGAGGCCATGTTGGGATGGCCATATCTGACTTTTACAAACTTTGCAAAGGGAAACTCCCTGTCAACAGCATGAACAACACAAAACCAATCTCCATACCAATCTTGCTGTTTTACTGAGTCCAAAATCCAAAGTGGTACCTCACAGACCACACAGAACCCTATTGGTGAAGTCAAAATGTTAAAACAGGTTAGTCACAGCATACAGTCAGGACAGCTTCCGAAATGTGCTCGCAGACACCTCAGCCTTGTGACTCCTGGCTCTAGGCCAGTGTTACACAATTCTCAGTCCTGTGAATTACGCCTCCCCCCACCCACCTCCAGTTACCCACAAAACTTGGACAAAGACTCTTAGCTTCGGTTCTGTGGTGTAGCAGTCCCGAGGCCCTGTCTCATGCCAGGCCTGTGGTTCTCTGCTGTGGCTATTGTGGCTGCTGCTTCCATAGGCCCTCCTGCTCTGTCTGGCATCTGTAAGGATGAGTGGCATTCTTTTGCTTGCTCTTAAGTCATGATATTCCTCTTTCTACTACTCTATCTGCTCAACTCACTGGTGAGACTAGCCAATCCCCTTGTGGATAGTCTAACACACCCTATTTTGTGTATTCTTGGCCATTCACATGACAAAATCCAATTTAGTGGTTAGGAAAGCCATTGTGAACACTAAACTTTACGTATTACAAATAGCCATGAAGAGGTAAAGAGGCCACCATGGAGATGTCTGAGGAAGAGTGTTTCTAGGCCAAAGTGAACTATTGATGACCCAGAGTTGGAAGCATGCCTAATGGAGAAGGAATTAGAAGACAGGGTAAGAGAAGGGGTCAGAGCAGTTCCGGGGTCACTTTATTTGTGGACTTATAGGTTTCTCTCAGTAGTTTGGTGGTTTGCTCTTGGTGATGAGGTTTGAATTTTCAGTGAACTGTAAAGTGAGGCCATTGGCTGAGAAAGGATGAGGGAAGAGTTGATCGTTTGGTTTGATTTCTTTACATTGCCAGGTGGCCACTTCCCTGCCGCTTCTGATGTGGAAGTGTTTCCTGTGTTTCTTCTTTATTTCTATTGCTACCACCACTTTGTTGTTGTTGTTATGTGCTGTCGAGTTGCCTGCAACTCATAGCGACTCTATGTACAACAGTTCTGAACTCTGCTCTATCCTAAGCTAGTTTCATTGTCTCTGACAAACCAACCCCCATTACCCTAGTCACTGAGTCACTCCATCCTCATTTAGGGCCTTCCTCAACACCACCTTTCTGTTAGGTGCCATTGAGTAGCCTGCAACTCATAGCAACTCTTAAGTATACAGCTCTGAAGCCTGCCCTGTCCTGAGCCAGTCTCACTGACTCTGACACATCTACCCTCACTGCCCCAGTTACTGTATCATTCCATCTCATCCAGGTTCTTCCTATCCTATGCTGTCCCTCCACCCTTCCAAGCAAAATGTCCTTCTCCAAGTGGCCTCCTGGTGACATGCTCAAAGTATGTGAGACGGAGCTTCAAAATCTTTGCCTTCAAGGAGAAACTTGGTTTCACCCTCCCCAAGACAGGCCTATTTGTTTTCTTGGTGGTCCACAACTCAAAGGCACCAATTATTGTCCAGCTCTTTGATACACAGCAAGTAATTGCAAAGACCATGGCCTGGATCAGGTACACCTTAGCCTCTAGACTGCCATTGTTGCTTCTCAGTACTCTGGAGATGTCCCTGTAAGCAGATTTTCCTCAATGCAATCCATCTTCTGAGTTCCTGACTACAGGTGCTAAGAGTGTTGATTGTGGAGCAAAGCAATCTGAAGCTGTTAGCACCTCAATCTCTATCTATCTATCTATCTATCTATCTATCATCTATCATCTATCTATCATCTATCTATCATCATAGTGCTGCCAGTTGGTCCAGTGGTAAGGATCTTTGTTTTCTTGATGTTAAGCTTCAATCCATATTGAAGGCTGCCGTCCTTGACCTTCTACAGCAAGTGATTCAGGTCCTCCTCAGTTTCAGCAAGCAGGGTTTTGTCATCTATATAATACAGATTGTTGGTGAGTCTTCCTCCAGTCCTGATGCCACATTTTCTCCTCATAGAGCTGAGCCTCCTAGATAATCTGTTCTGCATATAGATTGAAAAGCTATGGAGATAGGACACATCCCTGGCATACACACTTCCCAGTTTTGAACCATGTCGCATTTCTTTGCTCTATTCTGATGATTGCCTCCTGGTCCATGTAGAGGTTTTGTAGAAGCACAGTCAAGTGTTCTGGGATTCTCATTCTCTTCAAGATTAGCCACAATTTGTTGTGATCCACACAGTCAAATGCCTTTACATAGTCAATGAAGCAGAGATAGACATTCCTCTGGTACTGTTTGCTTGGGAAATAACCACCACCTCAGGAGAGTTCAAATCATCACAAAATCTTTGTTGTGGTAGCTTAACAGTCTCTAGGCCACCCAACCTTTTTCTTTTGTATTTCATGACTACCTCTCCCTACAATACCAATCTCGGTCAACGTTGTACTCAGAAATACTCCTTGACTTCCCATTAAAGCAGACCAAGTCCACTTAGCTCAGTGAGAGCTTTAGGTCTCTGGCAAGCTCCTCTTTGGTTAGCAATACCAGTTATTTCATTGCACATTGCACTAGGCCCCTGAACTTCCCAGTCTTCCTCTTGCTCTTAAATATTTGCTTGTATAATCTAGCTTTATGCTCTAGAGCAGCTACCAAACTTCTTTCTACTTCATTTCCATCATCTGTTAAATAAAGATTATAAAGGAACTTATGATTGTTTTGAGGATTTGATGACAATCATACTAAAACTATTTAGAAAGTTTTGGCATAGAATTAATTAAAATTTAGCTGTTGTTGTTATTATTATTATTATCCTATCGTTGAGCTTTTTCTTCCCTCAGTCTAAAACTCTTGGCCACTTACTTCTCAATCAAATCTTCCTTTTCTCAAAGTTACTTACTGCCAGCTCAACTTGTCCCATAGGAAATGTTTGTTGCTCATCCTCCCAGGCCTATGCTATTTTCCCTTATTTTACTGTAAACCAGAAACTCTGTGCAAATGTGATTTTGATACTCCAGTGTGGGAATGCCCCAAACCTCTGGAGGAGGGAAAAGATCATGGTCTTGACTTCGAATAGCCGTATTATCTAGCAAGTTCTATACTACTGTACTGTCAAGACCTTAGATTTTACAATCCTTGAATAAGTCAAACGTGGACTTGTAGGACTTGTTGTAGTAAATAAACGTCTTTGTTATTAAATCTTGAAACTCAAGGCTCTTCTCTGTCCTGAGCCTGCGTGGTGTGTGCCGCTAATCTGCAGCCCAATTCCTAAGTCTGGCCCTTACTTTCCAGAGACTTCCTAGAGGAACAGTTTCCCATGATCTCCCCTCTCTGGCACTTTTAATTCATTAGCTACCCATTCATTCCTTAGGGCCTCCGCTTCCTTCCTTGTGCTTCCTCCAGTGTGAGAAACCTGATATGCCTTTCCCTTAAGAGATTCCATTGCTTTTTGTTTCTTCCTTTTGCCTCTCCCAAAGTACCCTTGCTTTGAAGAGGCTGCTGCAAGGGAGTAGATTATTCCATCTTTTTATGATCAACACAAAAAGTAGGAAGCTTCATAAGGAAAATTGGCAAGATCTAGAATGATTTGCATTTCATAAGAATCAAAAGTTTCCTAAATTGGTTGGTTTTTTTTTTTTCCTCTTAAAGACCATGCTTCAAATATATGGAGAGCGTGGGGGAAATTGATCCAAATGTTTCAAACATCTGCTACAGATCTGGGACCTTTGAATTTATCAGCTTTAGTTAGGGGCCAAGCAATCTGACTTAGAAATGATTGTGCTGCAGGTTGGCTTGGTGCAGTATTTCATCTTGATGTTAGTCTGCCCTTTTTTTCAGAGTACATCCACGCCAAGGAGCTCCTCTGTGTGCCCGTGGACGTGACTGACACTTTGAACTGCTTTAGAGAGACCTTGGAAAAATCCAGATATCACAGCAGATCCATCCGGCACAGCCGAAAGTTGCTCTTGTTGTTTCTTGCACAGACACAAGGTAAAACCTGTACTCTCAGTCCCTTACTCTTTATTTGTGTGGGGTTTCCACTGTGAGACTCTACCAAATTCTGCCACAATGTTCTTTCTTTCATTCTTTCTTTTGTCCTTCCTTTCAGTCAACACTATGTCACTACTACGTCTGCTTTCCCTTTCTTCTTGTCTACTGAATCCCATCTTCTCTCTCTTACACTTCACTTCAGCCAAGGTGCTTTCTCTCTCACCTGCCTTCATGCCGCTATGAAGATAGCACACACCCGTTAGTGGTGTTGTTGTTATTGTTGGGTACCATTGAGTCAAGTACGACTCATAGCAAGCCTCTGAAGAACAGATCTGAACCCTGCCTTTTCCTGTACCATCCTTACACTTTCTGACTCACCTGAGTCCATTGCTGCAGTCTCTGCATCAGTCCACCTGGTAGAGGGTCCTCCTCTCTTCCACTGACCCTCCTCCTTTCTAAGCATGATGTCTCTTTTTGAATTCTATTATCTATGTTATTATAATAACCTTTATAGGTGTAGAGCTATGGTCTTACTTTAATTCCATAAGGAAATGGGATGATTCTGCATTAATTGGATTTTTTACTAAAAGCATTAGTATTAAATTGATGCATCATATTTTTATAAATAACTTTTATTGTGCTTTTAATGAAAGTTTACAGAAGACATGGATTTTCATTTATTCATTGTTGCACATTTTCCTCCCTACCCTCACCCCAAGTTTGCTTTTCTTTTTAAAAAAATGTATTCATTGCTGCACAATTTCCTCTCTACCTCCAACCCAAGTCTATTTTGCTATGCGTCTCTTATTCTGAACTGTTGTCATACAAATGATGCCTACTCATATATTTCTTTTAAACAATTCTATCCCTCATCTGTTCCAGTGCAATGTTCATTATTTATCCCCTCTTTCCTTAGTTCATGTCAACTCCCATTTCGGTCTCTTTTACAACAGTGGCATTATGCAGTATTTGTCCTTTTGTGATTGAGATATTTCATTTACCATAATGTCCTTCAGGGTCATCCATTTTATACAATATTTTACACATTTTTTCTTTCCAGCACTGTGTTCCATTGTTTCCATTGTTTGACTGTACCTCAGCTTTTCAATCCATTCATTTGTTGATGCATATTTGGGTTGCTTTCATCTCTTTGTTATTGCAGCAATAACATAGGTGTGCGTGTATCAATTTGTATGGCAGCTCTGGTTCCTTTAGGGTATAATCCCAGGAGTGGAATTGCTGGGAAAAATAATATTTCTATTTCCAACTTTTTGAGAAACGGCCATATGCCTTCCATAGTGGTTGCACCATTTTACACTTCCATGAATAGTGAATAAGAGTTCCAACTGTTCCACAACCTTGCCAGCATTTGTTGTTTGTTGCTCTGTGGTGAGATGATATCTCATGTTGTTGTTGTTATGTGCCATTGAGCCGCTTGCGACTCATAGAGACCCTGTGTAAAACAGCCCTAAACTCTGCTCTGTCCTGTGCCAATCACACTGTCTCCGATATACCCATCCTGATTACCCCAGTCACTAAATCAATCCTCCTCATAGAGGGCCTTCCTCTCCTGCGCTATCCCTCCACCCTCCCAAGCATGATGTCCCTCTCCAAGGACCTGTCCCTCATTACAACTTGTCCAAAGTATGTTAGATGGAGCCTCAGAATCCTTGCCTCCAAAGAGCTGCCCAGTTTAACCCTCTCCAGGGTGAATCTGTTTGTTTTCCTAGCAGTCCATGATACCCATTTTTATTTCGTTCTTTCTTTTATAACTCAATCATGTTCTTGCTGAGAGTTATTTAGCTCCCACATGAATGTTTTTGTAAGCTTTATCCTCCTGTGGTTAATTTCTAGTTTTATGACACCATGATCTGAGAAGATATTTTATATTATTTCAATGTTTTTAATTTTTGGAGGCTTGCTTTTTGTCCTAATATATGATCAGTTCTGGAGAATGAACCATGTGCACTTGAGAAGAAAGTGAATTGAGTTTTAGTTGGGTATAGTACCCTGAATACAGTGCCCTAAATTGCAGAGGTGACATCACAACAAAATCAAATGAAATTAAATTGATAATACTAGAAATTTGAAAACCTAGAGGAAATGGAAGAATTCCTTAAAACTCATGCCCATGCCCTACCCACGTTGAAAAGTTCAAGTTGACTGATTGTATAGTTAGGTCTTCTACATCTTTGTTAAGTTGTTTTTGTTGTTTTGTTTTTTTATTAGTTGACCTATCCTTTGGTGATAGTGGTGTGTTGAAATCTCCTACCACTATTGTGGTGCTGTCTACTTCTTCCTTGAATTCTGTTAACTGTTATTTTATGTATTTTGCAGATTTACTATTTAGTGCATAAATGTTGACCAAGGTTATGTCTTCTTGACCCATCATTGTACCTTTAATCAATATGTAATACCCTTCCTTATCTTTGATGGTGGTTTTCATTCTGAAATATATTTTATCAAAGATTAGTATTGCCACTCCTGCTTTTTTGAGGTTAACATTTGCTTGGTATATTTTTTTCCAGCCTTTGATTCAGAGTCTATCTTGCTTTTTCTAGGTTTTGGGTTTTTTGTTTGTTTGTTTTGTTTTGGTTTGGTTTTAGGTGTGTCTCTTACAAGCAACATATTGATGGGCTTTTTTTTTTTTAATCCATTCTGCTACTCTTTTTATCTTAATTGGTGCAGTTAGTCCATTCACATTTAGTGTGATTATCAACAGGCAGGTTTAATTTTGCCGTTTTGCTGTGTTTCTTTTTCTGTTGTTTCTTGTTACTATGTTCCATACACTATCCTTTGGTGTCTCCATGTGAAGGACTTTACTTAAAATTTCTTGTAGTGTTGGTATTGTTTTCACAACTTCCTTAAATTCCTTCTTTTCTACAAAGGATCTAATTTCTCCTTGCTATTTGATGGAGAGCTTTGCTGGATGTAGAATCCTTGGCTGACAATTGTTTTCTTTCAACTTTCTGTATATGCCTGTCCCATTGTCTTCCAGCTTGCATGGTTTCTGCTGAGAAATCATAACTTAATCTAATTGTTTCCCCTTTGTAGGTGACTGTTTTTCTCATACTGCTTTTAGAATTCTTTCCTTATCTTTCAATTTGGAGAATTTTACTATGAAATGTCTTGAGGTTTTCCTTTTTGGATCTAGTCTATTTGGTGTTCACTGAGCTTTTTGAATGTGATTTCTCCATTTCACAATACCTGGGAAATTTTCTTCTAGTACTTCCACAATTTTCTCAGTGATTTTCCGGTCATTTCTCTTTGGAATTCCAGTTGTATATATGTTATTCCTTTTGATGTCATCCCACATGATTTTAATATTTTCTTCATTCTCTTTATATCTCATCTCTGATTTTTCTTCCAGTATGTTTTCAGCGAGATTCTTGTCTTTCCTCATTGACTATCTGTGCCATCTCTTCAGTTCTACTTTTTTGTCCTACCAGCATGTTGGACATTTCTGCCATTTCAGTCTTAATATTCTGGATTGCATTTTAATGATTTTCTGTTATTTCTATTTACTGTGCTGACTGTACTCTATCTTGTGATGATTTTTTAAGTTCTTGGACATATTTATCTATACTATCCATTCCTTCCATCTTTTGCATTTTCTTCCAGCTCGTACGTTTTGAGGAGATTATGCTCATATTTTGACTGGGAAAAGTCTGAATATTTAGGTGTCTTAAAATGATCATAAATCCTATGTATGCTTATAATACTTGTTCAAATTTATCAAAACAGTGAGAAGTATTTTTTGGAATTTATCTGTATACTGTTTGGAATATACACAGCTGTAACATAGAATTTCAATTTCCACATGTACGTATGGTGACAGTGATTACTTTCTTCAACTTATTAACGTCCTTCCCCTGCTAACAGAAACTCCTTTTACATAAACTCATTGCTTCCTAAAATTCTTATCTTCTTTGGAATATATGTTGTCAATTTAATACTATTTAGTTAGATCTTAAAAAAGCACATTGCACATGACAGATATTCTTTACTGATTAAATTATTCTTTGCTTAACAATACTCCTATATATAATTTTTTTTGTTTAAGACTTTACCATTATCTGACACAATAGTTATGGGTTTCATCCAGCTTCTATGGGTCCAGAAAAGTTGAATTTTATGATAATTTTAAGTTCTAGTCTGTATTTTCTTCTCTTTTGGTCAAGATTATGTGTTTTTTTAAAATAAAAATATTTAGTCATGCTAGGTATGCATTATCAAATTTTCTGCTTTCATGGTAAAGGAAGTAATTATTCATGAGAACAATTAGTCATACATTTCATTTCCTCCTCCTGTTCCTACCTCTATTCCTTCCTCTGTTGTTCCAGATCAATAAATTCCAACCGATATAACTTAGATGGCTAATTTCATGATTTTAAGATCCTAAGAACTACTAAAAAAGCTGGGAGGTACAACACTCATTCATTATCATCAAGTTGCATCCAATTCATACCTGACCCTCCATTGGGTTTTTGAAGACTTTACATTGTAAGAGAAGGGATTGCCCATCTTTCTCTCATGGAGCCAACTGGTGGATTCAAACCTCTAGAAGGATACTACCTTTAAGTTCAGAACACAACACCATACAGAGCTTGAGAACTCCCTGGAAGTAGAACAGATGTGTTATTACATTATTAAGCCAATCAACTGGATGTCCTTGAAACCATGACCCTAAATCAACAAACTAAGAAACTAAATCTCAAAGGTGTTTGTTTGTACATGAGCAGCCCCAGTACCTTCTTTTGTCATTTTTGTAAATATATTTATCACAACTTTTTCCAATTAGAGTATTAAGAGGCAATTATAATAATTATATTTTAAAGTTATCAAAGTAGATTTTAACCTTATACCTAATTGGGATTCTTTTCTTAACAAATTAAGAGCTATTTAAAAGGAAGAAATCTCAATTTCTGCTAACTTTTGGAAAGTAATATTTAATTTAAAAATATAATTAATTTTCATTTCCTATCATACTTCTCGGCCATGTTTTATACAAATACTTTTTGCAAAAAGGAAAATCATGTGCTTTATTTCTTGCAGCTAAAGAAAAAATTAGCACAATATCCAAATATTTGGATAAAAAATGAAGAATGAAGTTTTATATATAATTTTCTAGCCATTTAAGGGTACCATCAGCAGGTGGTCTGGTGATCTGGTCCACAGGGAATAGTGCTGTTAACCCAAAGATCGTACCTCTCTGACAGTTCAGATCTACTTGTAGACTCCTACAGGGCCTCCACAAGAAAAAGAATGATAACCCAATTACAAAATGTGTGAAAGGCATGGAAAGATATTTCACAGAGGAAGACATGCAGATAATCAACAAACACATCAAGATATGCTCAAAATTACTGGCAGTAAGAGAGATGCAAATCAAATCTACAATGAGATAGATACCATCTCACCCCAGTAGCAGTGGCAAAGTTTAATAGAACAACAAGCAATAAACTTTGGAGAGGATATGGAGAGGTGGGAACTCTCATACACTGTTGATGGGATTGTAAAATAGGACAACCACTCTGGAAGACAGTTTGGCATTTCCTCAAAAAGCTGAACATAGAAATTCCATATGACCCAGCTATTCCACTGCTAGGAATATATCCTGAGGAAAAGAGACCTGAGACATATACTGAGATTTGTACATCAGTCATGAGATGTTTATAGCAGCATTATTCACAATATCAAGAACATTAAAACAGCTCAAATGTCCATTAGCAAATGAATGGATTGATATTGTGGTACACTGACATGATGGAATACTATATCATACTCAGGAGCAATAATTTTGAAAAATATTTAGTAACATGGGATAGGCCAAAGAGCATTATATTGCATGAACTAATTCAATCTTATAAGGACAAATACTGCATAGGACCATTAATGTAAAAATAGTAGGATGACTAGTAAGATGTATATAAATTTCTACATAGGAATGAGGAGAGAGGAGAGGGGCTGAGGAGCAGGGAAAATTCATGAGTTTGGTCACTGGTGGGAGGAAGTGGAGGAATTAGGAAAGATCCAGTTGGATCTGAAAGATCCAGTTGGATCTGAAAAAATGGGGTAGTAGTGAGCACACATAGACCAATGGTGATTAAAAGACACAATGTATAGGAGTGATCATAAAAACACAGTGTGAATGAAGTAATGTATGAAATAGAGTGTATGTGAATGAAATAAAACCACTTAAAATAAATAAAAAAGTAAAAAAAATAATGTCCAAGGGTGAAGGATGAGCAGTCTCCTGGTACATGATTTACAGCCTCCTGAAAATCCACTGGAAGGTCAGTAGTGAATCATTCTGCCTCAGTGGTGATGAGAGAGTTAATAGCAGGTGGAGATTGTATTTATTTAATGAATATCATTTGAGAACCATGAATATCCTGAGTCTCTAATCTAGGAGATTTGTATTAAAAAATCATTTTAGTTAAACAACTGGACTTAAATTCTACATTTTCAATTAAATTATGCTTTAGCCCAAACACTACTTTATAACAGCATTTAAAAGCAAATACAATTCTTAGCCTGATTTCCGTCAACTCATTCTGAATCTCACCTAGTGTCAAAATATTCCTATTAACTGAAACTCAGTCCTCAGGCTGTAGACTTCAAAATCCACAAGAACTTTTTTTGCACTGTTTTTGACTTCTTCCCTTAGCATATTCCCGCCCCCCCTTTCTTTGTGTTCTCTGAGCTTATAAAAAGATAGATTGCTTTGTATTTCCCCTACCTCTTTTCAACCCACTACTACCTACGTGTTACTTCTATCCCAGAGGTCTCTGCCCCAGAGGCAAACTAACATCTTAGTGCTGGAAGTTGTTAAAAAAAGGCAAACCCCTACTTCCTCCATCCCCTGGAGAAGCAAAGCACTTACTTCCTAGCTAACTGCTGAGTGTAGCCTCACCCATACATTCTGGGCTCTTCAGAAATCATATTTAAGAGAGGTTTAAGGGAACATTGTCTTTAAAACTGCAAATAAGTCTCAGCTATGTATGAAATCAGAGAGCTCTGGTGGTCTAGTAGTAAGAAACTCAGTTGCAATCCCAAAGGCATGCAGTTTTAATCCACCAGCTACTCCCTGGGAGAAAGCTAGACTGTCTCTTCCCAGGTGATTTTCTGCCTCTGAAAACCTGCTCGAGGGTCAGCTATGGGTCATTTCTGACTCCACGGCACACAACAAACTGTACGAAATCTGCCTTTCCTTCCTGCTTTATCTTTTTCTCTCCCTGCCAACTTCCCATCTTTCTCCATTTTTAATTTTACGTTCTTTAATTTTTTTTTTAAATGAATTTAGGAGACAAAGGAGGAATAAACAATTTAAAGTTTAACTCTGGAAAGGTGGAGTTTTGTCTGGGAACAGAGGAAATGCACATGCCAAATCCCCCTGACCTTTCTCAGGAAAACTTCAGAGTTTTTAGTTCAGTGGAAAAAAGCAAACTTCCTGCTTCCCAACTTGGACTCGTCATTTCTTCTTACTACAAAACTATTGGTAAGGTTTATTAATTAGATGTTCAGTTTCTTTCTTTTCATTATCTCATCATAGTGTAATTCACTTACTGTACAATTCACCTATTTAAAGCATACCCTTTAATGCTTTTTAGTAGAGTTATTGATATGTGCAGTCATCACCACAATCTATTTTAGAACATTTTCACCATATGTCCATTTCCAAGGGAGCTCTGGTGACATTATCAGAGTCCTGCTGCCAACACAAAGGCAGGTGATTCAAATCTACCAGCTGCTCCTTGGAAGGAATGTGATCAATCATTCTCCATCTGTGTGATTTACAGCTTCTGAAAAACTTGATGGAAGATCGGCTGCGAGTTGGTGACAGCACATAAAAACAAATAATTGATATTATGGTCATGTTGAGATTGCAGTTGGGCCTGAAATGTTATCTTTAAAAGTTAGGATAAAATATATTGGAAAGATTCTATTTGTGCCCTTGCAGGCAATGACAGAGCAGTGTAGAGACTGAAGGTGCTTCCAGCCTGTCCCTGTTTGAGCCCATTCTTACACCCTCTGTGTCATCAGTCCATCTTACGGAGAATTCACTGAACAAGCATATTGCCCTTGAGGGACTTGTCCCTCTTGATAACTTATCCAAAGTATCACCATTCTCACCTCTCAGAATCATGCTGGCTGTATCTCTTCTAAGACAGATATATTCCTTCTTCTGCCCATCTATCATATAGCTGATGATCTATTCCAATACCATAGTCCAATGGCATCAATTTTATTTGTCTCCTTATTCGTTATCTAGCTTTCATATCTATGTAAGTTTATTCAAAATACCCTGGTTTGACTGAATCATCAGAGTGACATCTGTGCCTTTTAAGACTTTGGAAAGGTTTTTTTCCAGCAGATAACTATGTAATGCATAATCCACTTTCCTAACTGCTGTTTCCTTAAGTGGTGGTTGTGGATCCAAGTAAGAAGAAATCCTTGATGATGTCAGTCTTTTCCCTCTTTATTGCAGTGTTGCAGATAAGAGAAGTGAGAATGTTTGATTTTGAATGTTGAGGTATAGTCCCTACCACAGGCTGACGTCGTTTACCCCAAAGAATAATACTGTTTAAAATATTCTTGTAAATGGAAAGGAATATTTTTCCAAGGCTGACCTTTGCTTTTTTACTTGATTAAAAATACAGATGTTCTTCAGGCCAACAATCAGAGAGATCTGAAAGTTCAGGCGCTGCATGAACTTGGAAGTCTTCTCATCTTCGCAGAAAAGAAAAGGTAGATTTTTATTGTGTTTTATGAATTGGTAGGACAAAGGCTTTTTTTTATTTATTTGTTTGTTAGAGTAGCTGTTCAATTATTCCTAATATATGTTACCTGTTGTAAATTTTAGTTATCCAACAATATTGCTTCCTTTCAGTCATCAGGAAAATGATCCATTTTATTGTTACTGAACACAAGGGGTTCCTTTCTTAGTCAATTGCCAGTAAGACAGACGGATTGCAACATCCACAAGAACTTTATTACAGATCTGGGAGGAAGCAGTGAGATCCTTTTCTGAGACTGCCTCCCCATCTGGGAGTGGTTATTAGGCTTTTCTACCAGGGTTAGGTACCAACTTATTCAACAATGCACCTTTGTTAGTAAAAGAAAAGAATTTCTACATCTGAAAAAACCTTTCACACAGAGATACCAGTAAATAGGCAATCTACAAAAGAGTTAACACATGACTGAGAAAAACAGGCCCTGAGAAAGATAAGGACTAACTCAGGAAAGGAGCACCTTCCTCCTGACAAACAGACAGATTAAGATAGAATTTACATATGACTGGAAAAAACAGTTTCAAAGAGGTAAGCTGACCTAGGAAAGATACATTTCCTTTCCTGGTAAACAGCCCACTTAAACTACTTTACAAGAATTCTGAGGAAAAGTAACCAGTTTTATAGGCTGAAGAACACTGATACTGTACAGAGTCAACTCCTGGTTGCTGTGAAGCTGAACACTGTAACACTGATGTGTCAAATGCAAGAATGGTTACCTGTGGTGGACAGTGTTTGGTGGAGCTCCCTGATTAAAACAAGCTTGGAAGCAAGAGTGGCATCCACTTCCATAATAGCTTGCCTCTGGAAAAGCTTGCCTCTGTAAACCCTATGAACCTGGAGAAAAGACAAAAGTTATACTGGAGCCCAGGTCTTTTGTTCATAGGGTTGCTATGAGTCACCTCTGACTCAATGACACTTAACAACAACAACAACGTATATATATTCTCTAACTATATCTCTCTCTCTATCTCTATCTACATCTACATCTATATTCTAATATATTCTCTCTCTATATATATTCTCTCTCTATATATA